GACCCATCTATGTATGCTACCTACAAGAGGCTCACTTCTGACCCAAAGACACAAACAGACTGAAAGTGAAGGGCTGGAATACATATACCATGCAAATGAAAGTGGGGGCTGGGGGGAAGCCAGGGTAGCAGTACTTATCAAAGCAGACTCTATAACAGAGACTTTAACAAGACACACAGAAGGGCATTATATAATTATAAAGAAATCAATCCAACAAGAGGATATAACAACTGTAAATATCTTTGCACACAACATTGAAGCATCTAAATACATTAACACAAATGTTAACAGACATAAATGGGAAAACTGTCAGTAATACAATAACAGTAGAGAACTTTAATACCCCACTTACATCAATGAATAGAATATCCGGGCCAAAATAATCAATAATGAAACAGCATCTCTGAACTAGACCAGATGGACTTAATAGATACATACAGAACATTCCACCCGAAAAGAGCTGAATACACATTCTTTTCAAGTGGACATGGAACATTCTCCAGGACAGATCACATGTGTGCCACAAAACAAGTCTCAATAAATTTAAAAAAGACTGAAATTATATCATGCATCTTTTCTGACTGCAGTGGTATAAACAAGATATCATCACGAGAAAGCAACTGGAAAAAACACAAACACATGGAGGCTAAATATGCTCCTAACCAACCAATAGGTCAATGAAAAAATCAGAGAGGAAATAAAAAATAGAGACAAATGAAAGCAGAAAAACAATCATCCAAAATCTTCTGGATGCAACAAAAGCAGTTCTAAGAGGGACATTTATAGCAATACAGACCTATCTCAAGAAATAAGAAAAATCTCAAACACTTTAACCTTATACCTAAATGAACTAGAAAAAGAACAAAGCCCAAGCTCAGTAGAAGGAAGGAACTAATAAAGACCAGGCAGAAATAAATGAAATAGATTCTAAAAAAAGAAAATAGAAAGATCAATGAACCAAGAGTTGGTTCTTTGAAAAGGTAACAAAACTGATAAACCTTTAGTCAGATTCATCATAGAAAAAAAAAAGAGAGAGAGAGAGACAGGACCCAAATTAATAAAACCAGAAATAAAAGAGAAGAAACAACAACTGACACCACAGAAATACAAAGAATTATAAGAGATTACTACAAAAAAATACATGCCAACAAACTGGACAACCTAGAAGAAATGGATAAATTCCTAGAAACATACAGTCTTCTAAAACCGAATCAGGAAGAAGTAGAAAATGTGAACAGACCAACTACTAGCAACAAAAGTGGATCAGTAAACTCCCAATAAGCAAAAGTCTAAGACCAGATGGAATCACAGGTGAATTCTACCAAACATTCCAAGAAGAGTTAATACCTATTCTCCTCAAACTGTCCAAAAAATAGAAGAGGAAGAAATTCACTCTCTGAAACCAGCATTACCCTGATACCAAAATCAACCAAAGACACTACAAAAAAAGAAAACTACAGGTCAATACTCCTGATGAACATAGATGCAAAAATACTCAACAAAATATTAGCAAACTCAATTCAACACTCTATTAAAAGGATCATTTACCACAATCAAATGGGATTTACTCCAGGGATGCAAGGGCGGTTTAGTATAAATGAAAACAACATGATACATCTCATCAATAAAACAAAGGATAAAAACCATATATTCATCCCAATAGAAAAGCATTTGACAAAATTCAACATTTGATCATAAGAACGCTCAACAAAGTGGGTTCAGAAGGAACATATCTCAACATAAAAAAGGACCTATATGAAAAACCCACAGCTAACCTTATACTCAATGGTGAGAGCGCTTTTCCTCTAAGATCAGGAAGAAAACAAGGATGCCCACTCTTACTATTTTTACTCAACATAGTACTGTAAGTCCTAGCTGCAACAATCTGACAAGAAAAATAAAAGGCATCCAAATCATGGGAGAGAAGTAAAACTATTTGCAGAAAGAAAAAACAGTCCCATTTACAACTGCACCAAAAATGATAAAATACCTAGGCAGTAAAAGACCTGTACTCTGAAACCTATAAAATTCTGATAAAAGACATTGAAGAAGACAAACAAATGGAAAGATATTCCATGTTCATTGATTGGAATAATTTATAGTATTAAAATGTCCATACCACCCAAAGCAATCTACAGATTCAATGCAATCCCTGTCAAAATACCAACAGCCTTTTTCACGGCACTAGAACAAATTATACTAAAATTTGTATGGAACCATAAAAGACCCCAAATCAATCTTGAGAAAGAAGAATAAAACTGGAGGTATCACAATCCTGGAGTTCAAGATATACTACAAAGCCATAGTAATCAAAAACAACATGGATCAATGGAACAGAATAAAAGCACAGAAACAAACTCACACTTATATACTCAATCTGTAACAAAGGAAGAAAGAATATACAAAGGGAAAAGACAGTCTCTTCAATAAACGGTGTTGGGAAAACTTGACAGCTACATGCAAAGAATGCAGCTGGATGACTTTTTCACACTATATGTAAAAATAAACTCAAAATGGATTAAGACCTAAATGTGAGACCTGATACCATAAAACTCCTAGAAGAAAACACCAGTGGTAATCTCTTGGACATTAACTTTAGAAATATTTTTCTGGATATGTCTCCTCTGTTGAGGGAAACAAAAGCAAGAATAAACTACTGGGACAACATCAAAATAGAATTTGCACAGCGAAGGAAACCAATAAAACAAAAAGACAACCTACTGAATGGCAGAAGATATTTGCAATAATATAAAAATATATTATTCAACTCAATATCAAAAAGACAATTTGATTAAAAGTGGGCAGAGGACCTGAATAGACATTTTTCTAAAAAAGACATACAGATGGCTAACAGATACATGAGAAGATGCTCAACATCACTAATCAGGTAAATGCAAATCAAAACCACAATGAGATATCACCTCATGCCAGTCAGAATGGATACAATAAAAAAAGACAAGAATAACAAGTATTGGCAAGGATGTGGAAGAAAAGGAAACCCTCATGTACTGTGGGTGGGAATGTAAACTGGTGTGTTGACTGTGGAAAACAGTATGGAGGGCGCCTGGGTGGCTCAGTTGGTTAAGCGTGCCTTCAGTTCAGGTTATGATCTCAGGGTCCTGAGATGGAGCCACATGGGGCTCTCTGCTCAGCAGGGAGCCTGCTTCTCCCTCTCCTCTGCCCCTCCCCCCTGCTTGTGCACACGCACACGCTCTCTCTCTCAAACAAATAAAATCTTAAAAAAAATGTACATCCACACTTGACATGGGTCCTAACTTTACATTCATCTCTCCATATGAATGAAAGAAATATAGTAAATGGGAGAATAATCACGGGACCCAAAATAGTATTATTCCTTTATAATTATCTTTCAATATTGAATAATGTTGCTTTTACTGTTGTTTTTTAAATCTATGTTCACATTTTCATGTAAAATAAACTGTACAGAATGAATGTGAACAAAATGCAAAGAATAAATGTATATACAACATGTGTATCTACTATCAATACCCTAGTACAGATGTACAGAAAAGGAGACAAATAATGATCTGGTAAATCTGGCCCTCTTTATCATTCTAAAGTCTATTGTTATCTCTTATATTAAGCCTTCTTTGATGTGACTATGGGTCTTACTATAGAAAAATGTTGAAAGACAAAATATGAAATGCAGAAACCTTCATGCAATTTAAAACCTCTATGTCACTGTTTTTATTTGGGTAATAGAACTTTAAAAAAGACAGTAGACTAATGAACTTCATGAAGACAGTAACTTACTATCTTTTTTTAAGATTTTATTTATTTGATACAGAGAGAGAGAGAGAGGGAGCCTGCACAAGACAGAACACAAGGGGGCGGGGGAGGGTGCAGAGGGAGAAGCAGGCTCCCTGCCAAGCAGGGGAGCCTGAAGATTCAGGGCTCGATCCCAGAACCCTGGAATCATGACCTGAATCGAAGACAAGACGCTTAACCCACTGAGCCACTCAGGCACCCCAGTAAACTTATCTTGTTCCTCATTCTATCTCTATGAGTTCAGCATTTAGTGCAGTACCTAGCATAAACTAGGCTTCCTATAATTATTAAGAGAATGAAAATATATGAATGAATAAATGAAGACAAAGCACTAAAACCTATTGACTGTCCTCCAGAGACTATTAGTAAGTTCAGTAGTATTCCTTAGCTCTGTATGGTTCACCGTTCTAAGAGTTCTACATGTCAATCATTATTTCCATTTTACAGATGAGGAAATCAAGACATAAAGTAACGCCTCTAGCCACACTGTGAATTATGAACCAAGGATTCAAATTCAGACAGTCTGAGTTTACAACCTAGGCTGTAACCCACTGTGATATAGATTTCTAGAAATGCCACTTTATTTATTTATTTATTTTTTAAAGATTTTATTTATTCATTTGACAGAGAGAGTCACAGTGAGAGAGGGAACACAAGCAGGGGGAGTGGGAGAGGGAGAAGCAGGCTTCCCGCTGAGAAGGGAGCCCGATGCGGGGCTTGATCCCACGACCCTGGGATCATGACCTGAGCTGAAGGCAGACGCTTAATGACTGAGCCACCCAGGCGCCCCTAGAAATGCCACTTTAAAAGCATACATTGTATAAGTACGTCTTAAATGATAAAAATGACAACTGCTAGAAGACTTGAAGGATTTTTCAAAGTAGTTGGAGAAAAGGAAGTTGAAAAGATTGAAATCAGGCATGTGAAAGTTTATAAAAATGTAGGACAACAGACTTTTAAAGCAACCAATGCAGAATATCTTCTAATGTAAATGTTACACTAACAGTTTATCTCAAGAGAATTTATCTAAAGTCAGGAAATAAGTGGAATTTGAGAATTTCTCTCATGCAAGACTAGATACTAAGTCTTTGATGGTACCTTAATTTATAATAAAAATGAATAAGATGAAATTCCCTGTTAGCCCCAATTCATAGTCACGTTTTCTTGTCGAGAAATTCTAAGAGTACAAGCTTTTTAATGTGCTGATATCTTACCTTTTCTTTTTGCTGATGATCATATCCATGGTTTGAAGCAGTCGCCGTTCCAGGGCTAGGATATCTGCATCAGTCACATTTCTATAATAAGCACAAACTGTTAGCAATGTTTCGGGATCCCATCCTTGGGCATAATAAATATAAGGCAGCTGTAGAAACACATAAACCTTAGTTGTTACCCAGTAATTCAAGGACCTTTTCCTAGAGAATATTAAAATGACTATAAAAAGCAAAAATGCTTTTGCTGTCATTTTTTATAGCTAAAAGTTTTGCAGTCTCAGGGCAATGGAAGGTAACTGGCTCTCTTTTAGTCTTTCTTAGCTTTGATCCAGTGACATTTTTGATGTACATGTAAGCACTCTTCCAACTTGGCATTGTCTTCTACCATTCTACTTCTAGGAGGAACTGATTTACTCAAGTGGGGATTAGCTCACATTGCTATCCATGAGTAATGTGCCTTTAAAAAGTATAAGAGGAAGTAAAGAGAATTTGACTGAAATAATAATTTTTTAAAAAGATTTATTTATTTTAGGGAGAGAGAGTGAGTGTGTGCATGCCTGTGAGTGGGGGGAGCAGAAGAGGAAGAGGGAGAGGGATGATCTCAATCAAGCAGACTCCCCGCTAAACACAGAGCTCAATCTCATGACCCTGAGATCATGACCTGAGCTGAAATTAAGAGCTGGATGCTCAACGAACTGAGCCACTCAGGCGCCCCAAAATAACCATTTTAAAAATAAGTGAATGTAGGACAAACAAAGGGCAAACAATATAAGTGATAAGACTTATTATTTGGAGGGATTCCTAGGACAATGCCCATAAGGACAGATGGAAAGAATAAAAAGGCAGTGTCACAGATCTAATATTTAAGTATTGATGATGGCATGATAGGACATACGTATTCATGAAGTAATAGGAAAAAAAAGAGACAAAGTTCTTTTTACCTGAGGAAGTAGGACATGTAAGTGTATGGGCAGTTGACAGCACCAAATCCAGAAAGAAGAGCCATGAGAGTCACACCAATCACACCTACCCGGCTGATGAGCTGTTCTATGGACAAAATCCCTAAAAACATCAAAGCACCTTAATGTCAGGTGATAAAGATAAAATAGCACTGCAAGAGGAAATATCACAGAAAACATCAACCATTACATACAACTTAAATAAGCCAAATTTTAATTATCAATATTAAATTTAAAATTAAATTATCAATATGTAGATCTTCCATAATAAATGTATAAAAGTCTATTGATTTTCCTCCTATCCCATATGCTTCCAGAATCATCTCTATTGCTGGGCGACGGTAATATTAAAATAATATTTGCAAATAATACTTTTTGACTATTTACTCAAGGTAGTGTGAACTCTAACAAAGCCCTTTTAGTAAAAGCTTTGGCAAAAAAATATTAGGAAAGTAGGGGAGGGGGGTGGGAGGATGGTTTAGCCTGGTGATGAGTATTAAAGAGGGCATGCTCTGCATGGAGCACTGGGTGTTATACACAATGAATCATGGAACACTACATCAAAAACTAATGATGCAATGTACGGTGATTAACATAACAATAAAAAATTAAAAAAAAAGAAATGAAAAATATTAGGAAAGTAAATCTGCTGGAAAAGTATAAATACAAGGTAACACTTTCCACTATATACATCAGTATATACAGTTATATATATACATTTCCCCCTTAGGTCATAATAAGCTCTTTAGGTCTTATGAGCTTATGTCTTATTCATTTTTGCCAATAAACACATAAGGCATCTAATAAATGAGCTGAATTTATAACGAATGAGTATTTTAAAGGCAGATATGTGAGTTTTAGATCATCAGTTGTATTCTAATTATCAACTGTTTTCAATTATTTTAGAATGTTGAAAATGAGTATTTAAAATAAATGCTGTTGTAGGGGCGCCTGGGTGGCTCAGTCGTTAAAATAAATGCTGTTGATATTTGGGATACATGAGAGAACGCAATGCTGAAGAATAAGCCAGGAAGTCTGGAATCACAGGATAAAACTAGTTTTGTTTTCACTTCCTATTTCTAGGATGGAATCCACTTTAGCATTATCCACTCTGGCCTAACACCAAAGCTGCCATTCAGGAATTTTGTTAGCTTTGAAACCGAAATTTCCAATATTCCGGCCCTCCTGCTCCTGTGTTTCCCCTACACCATTTTAGAGCTCTTTGTGACCTCTGTCTCTACAGTCTTTTGCTTTCTCCCACCTTCCATTTCCTTCTTCACTGAGCCTGAACTCCAAGCTTGCTTGCTTCAACTTCTCTCATTAGGACTCTGTCCCGACTCTCCTCCTTCTTTGGCGCTGATCCTGAAAACTCCCAATCTTGGATCAGTCTAACACTCCATCTTCCCTGTGCCCATGCCTGAGCTCCTAAAACAGCTAGAATGCATTGGGATATTGGTGCCATTACAGATTTATGGTCTCTAGTTTTAACAGAGCTTACGACACTACTGAGGAATCCTTTTCTTGCCCTTGGTCAGCCATCTCTTCCCACTCCCCTCCGTAGATAAATCTTAAAAAAAAAAAAAAAAGATTATTTATTTTAGGGGTGCCTGGGTGACTCAGTCAGTTAAGCATCTGACTTCAGCTCAGGTCATGAACCTGGGGTCCTGGGATTGAGCCCCACTTTGGGTTCCCTGCTCAGCAGGGAGCCTGCTTCTCCCGCGCCCTCTGCAGCTCTCCCTGCTTGTGTGCTCTCTCTCAGCTTGTGATCTTGGGGTCCTGGATCCAGCCCCATGTTGGGTTCCCTGCTCAGCGGGGAGTCTGCTTCTCCTTCCCCCTCTGCTCTTCTTCCCCCACCCCTGCTCGTGCTCTTTCTCTCAAATAAATAAATTAAATCCTTAAAATTTTTTTTATTTGAGAGAGAGAGCACATGAGTGCAGGGTGGGGAGGGGCAGAAGGAGAGGGAGAGACAGAACCTCAAGCAGACTCCCCGCTGATCTCACAACCCTGAGATCATGACCTGAGCTGAAATCAAGAGTTGGACACTTAACCCAACTGAGCCACCAGGTGCCGCACCATCCCCACCCAGCAGAAAATCTTTAATTCATTTTCCCAATCCTGTTCTCCTTAGCTAATGCCCTAATTACAGAAGTTATTAGACATATACTCCCTTCTACTATATTAACATCTGCAATCATCCTCCCAACTTGTCCCCCTCGAACAAGACAGTATCTAAAGCTAAGACTTCTCTACTTGTGCTTTGATCTTACTTCCTTTCTACTTCCTTCAGAATCTTGTTCCATCACCTGTCCTCTCTCTTTTACCTTCAATCTTTCCTTCTTTGCTCGTTCTTTTCCTTCAGTTTCAAGTCTCCTTCCTAAGACAGTCTGTCCTTAGCCTTGAGTTTACCTCTAGTTGCCAATCCTCTATTTCCCCCTTAATAGTCAAACTTTTTGAAAGGAACTTACACTTACTATCACCTCTTCTTCACCTCTACTTATTCTTCAACTGGCTGCAATTCAGCTTTCATCCCATTCTCCTGCCTGAAGAAAACTGCTTTCACTAATAATAACGGCAACAGTACAGCAACATTCATCAAGCACCTGTTCTGTACCACGCACTGTTTGAAGCAGTATTAACTCATTTACTGCTCATGACAGCCCTCTGAGGCAGGTATCATTGAAAACCTCATTTTACAGATGAGGAAATAGAAGCACTGAGAGGGTAAGTAACTTAGTCAAGGCCACACAGCCAGTAAGTGGCAGAGTTAGGATTCAAACACACGAAGTGTAGCTCCACAGCCTACGCTCTAAACCATTACTATAATATGGTCATGAATTTTCTTCTGGTTGCACAGTTCAATGACATTTTCCAATCCATGCTTTATTTGATCTTTTAGGACACTGAATCATTGCTATTTAAGAGTCTCATGCTCTACCGACTGAGCTAGCTAGGTGCCTGAATCATTGCTATTTAAAATTATTTATCTCTTTTACTTCTCTAGTTGTTCTTTTCTTGGTCTTTCTCTGCTCAGAATGGCCCAGAATCCCCTTTCATTTCACTCTATATACATTTTCAGTGGGTGATCTTGGCCTATTTCCCCAGGTTCATCTAATGGTGTTTAGCTGATGGTACCTAATTTTTTAGATTCCTGGAGTTATTTCCATAAGGACTAATAAATCCATACCTCTCTCCTAAGTTGCCAACTTGTGTATGCAACTTCTTGCTGAACTTGGATGTGCATAGGCAACTCAAATTCAACACATCCCAAGTTCGAATTATCTTCCTTCTTCTGCATTACCTAGCCTAGAAAATGACATCATCAGCTATCTGGTCACCAAAACAGAAAAATCTATACCACTAGTCTCCCTTCTGTCTCTTGCTCCCCCTTGAATATACCAGTCTTTTTTACCTCAGGGCTTTATATGATGTCTCTTCTGCCTTCTTGCTGGGTCTACCTTTGGTCTTGTCCTTTAAATCTCAGCTTAAATACTTCCTCATAAAGGCTGACTCTAACCACTCGCATCTAATTTGACATACTTATCTGTATTGTCGTCTACCACAGTAACCTGTTTGCTCCTTGATAATGATCATAATTGGCAATTATTTGTTTATATTTTTACTGTTCAGTCCTTCCTGCCAGAGGGTAAGTTTCAGGAGGGCAGAAACCAAGTTTCTTTTGTTCATGGTTGTATCTCCAGCACTTAAAATAAAACTAGGTGTTCAAAAAATATTTGTGGAATGTTATATGAATGACTAAATCCTCATCCAAATTCTGTTGATTCTACTTCCCACATACCTCTTAATATCCTCTTTATAGGAAGGAATCACGTCTTATTGCTCTTTGTTTTTCTTACTACCTGGCACATGGAAGGTGTTCAGCAAATGTTTATTGACTGTAGGTATACAATTACCCAGTAACAACAAAAAAAATCGAAGGGATTAATATAGGTTATTAAATATAAAAAACTAGAAAAATGTCCCCTCTATACTTTTATTCCCTTTAAGGTGGTGTCCCTTTATTAAATATCTTTTCCCAGTCTAAAGTACTTTGAAGATACTATCTACATAATCCTAGCATTTCCATGAAGTTAAGGTCAATTGTTCCTTGTTTTCTAGTAATAAGTGGAAAGTCCGATGCATGAAGTGGCATGCAGGAGACCATCTCACTGTTGCCATTTGCTCACACAAATTCCTGTATTTTTATTATTTTTTTGTGTGCTTCACAGACTTTCTTAGCCTCCCTTACTCTTTCCCAAACTAGGGAATGCCTTCCAACCTTCCTCGGTTCAAGCACTGCACAAGGAGTACTTTCACAGACATCTTTTTGTTATAGGTAAGGATTGGGTCTTACAGTCTTTTTGTGGTCTCCACAGTAATAAATCATACTGGTCGTTGGGACAGTCCTAGAAAAGCTCTAAGATGGCAGGGTAAGCCTGGCTGCTTCTCATCCATTGCCTAAACTTTTCTTCCTACTTACTTCTCTTAGTCAAATGAATTAGACACCGGACATAAAACCAAAATGCTTATTTCCTGGAGCACAAAGGAAAGACTAAAACTGAAACTATTTCCTAGGTCTTCCCCCTCAGTGTCTTCTTTAGGATATCTCTACAGAATTTTGAAAAAAGGATGAAGATACAAAAGATGTGATGGTCTTCATCTTCCCTCAGGCCCGGTCTGGCTCCACTGGTCATGTGAACTGACTGCTCACAAGGAGCAAGCGGGAGACAGACACCAGTCTTGTCTTTGGCTGCATGTGAGCTTGTGCTAGCATTGTAAGCAGCCTTGGGGTCCTTTTATAATTCTTATCCCTTGTTTCTGATACCACAAATTTGTCTCTCTTGGGCTTATTTGAAATAGTTTATATGAGAGCTATATTGTCAGGGCCTCTGTAGTCCATATCTTTCCCTATATGGACATGTGCATGCTAATGATATTAGCAAATTTTAAATTCCTATTCAGAGTGTTACATTTTTAAACTCATCTACTACCTTCGAGAGACTGAAATTGTTTTTTTATTCACTGATTCAATAAATATGCATTAAACATTTATGTGCTAGGTTCCACGCTATAGACACTGGGAATAGACAAGTAAGATGTAGTTTTTGACCCCAGGGTCCTCAGGGAGCTCGTGAGTTAATGAGGAAGTCAGAAAAGGTAGCAAGTAATTATAATCATTATAGGTGACATAAGTACACTGATGTGGGAGCAATTAATATCTTCTAATGATGGGGCTCCTGGGTGGCTCAGTTGGTTAAGCGACTGCCTTCAGCCCGGGGTTGTGATCCTGGAGTCCCGGGATCGAGTCCCATATTGGGCTCCCTGCTCAGCGGGGGGTCTGCTTCTCCCTCTGACTCTCTTCCCTCTCGTGCTCTCTGTCTCTCATTCTCTCTCTCAAATAAATAAATAAAATCTTAAAAAAAAAAATTCTAATGATGGCCAGAAAAATCTGGAATTGGCAAGAGCTGAATATCGCAAGAATAGGCATTTTCTAGATAAACAAGAGGTGAAGGAATGTCCTGACTGACAGAATAGCTCTAGAAACTTTAGGTAATTCAGTAGTACTGGAGGAGAGACACAGAGAAAGACAGCAGTAGTCAGGCCACGGAAGGTCTTGTACACCATGCTGAGTTTGAATGTTTTTGGTAGCCTAGTGTTTTAACTTTTTTGACCTTTTTTTTTTTTTTTTTTTTTTTAAAGATTTTATTTATTTATTTGACAGAGAGAGAGAGAGCACAAGTAGGCAGAGAGAGAGGGAGAAGCAGACTCTCCAATGAGCAGGGAGCCCGACACGGGGCTCGATCCCAGGACCCTGGGATCATGACCTGAGCCGAAGGCAGCCGCCTAACTGACTGAGCCACCCAGGCGCCCCTCTTTTTTGACCTTTTTAAATGTTATCTGAAATTTCAAAGTAGCTATTTCTAATTTAAAAATAGTTAGGATATTGCATATGTGATTTATTTATTTTTTAAAAGATTTTATTTATTTATATGAGAGAGAGAGAGCACATGTGAACAAGCAGGGGAGGGAGTGAGGGGCAGTGGGAGAAGTAGACTCCCCGCTGAGCAGGGAGCCCGATGCAGGGCTCGATCCCAGGACCCTGACATCATGACCTGAGCTGAAGGCAGACACTTAACCGACTGAGCCACCCAGGTGACCCTGCATATGCTTTTTAAAATTGTGCATTTTCTCTGATCCTCCTGCAGCATAATCTCATAACCTCCTTCCTCCAGATCCCTGCTACAGGCAAGGAATAGACACAGATGGATTCATGGTAGATTCTAGACACTGGTTTACTCAACATTCATTCCAATGCCTTTCTAGCATGTCTTCTTGTATTACAAAATCTGGAAAGCCAAATATTCTTTCCCAGATTTCCTTGAAACTAAGGTTCTGAATGCACCTAGGTTGTATCAAATTCACATGCCCATGTGAGACCTCAAATGCAGAAGTGAATAACATGGGAGTGTGAACAGCACTTGGGACCGCGGCCACTGAAGCAGTCCTACTATCTGATCCCTGATGTCACAGGTCCCCCGTGGCAGTGACAACTTCAGTGGGGTTTTCTCCAGTTGACTACTGTGTTATGATTGAATGTTACTCTTCACTACACAGCATTTAAGTTTAACAGCCTGCTTTCCTAAAAATTCTATAAACTCCCTAATACCCTGGAATAAATCACTTTCTGCTTTAAATTAGTTAGAGCAGATTCTGTTTTCTGCTATAAGAATCCTGATACAGCAGGAGAGTGAAGTGAATGGATGTGTATTTTTTTTAAAACCTCCAGTATCAAAGTGCCAATATATTCATTACACGTGGCATATATATCTATGTTCATATATATATTTCTGAAGTAGTTCTGAAGGACTTTTAGCTGACAGATTATTGTTCATGGTTTTTAGCACAGAAATTAGGGCTCTATGATCTGCTCTTGTATGTAAAGATTTTTTTAAAGTTTTTATTTATTTACGTAATCTCTACACCCAACATGGGGCTCGAACTCATGACCCCAAGATCAAGAGTTGCATGCTCTACCAACTGAGCTGGCCAGGTGCCCCTGCTCTTGTATTTAAAATGAACTTTTTTGTGTAAGGAGAGACACTGATTCCTAGAAAGCTTTTCTTTATCTACTAATTTTGAATGTTTTATGTCACTGCTCTTTCCTAAAATACGTATAGTCCCTAAAGACAATATTTATCATTACTTGAGCAGTGGTTATTTATCTTTTCGGTCATTTGACCCCTTTGGGAATCTAATGAAAGCTTGTGGATACTTTTAGCTCCAAATACACATACAAATATTTCCCCATAATTCTACATACAATATCAGGAATTTTAAATTTAAAGACAACTTTCCCCACCCCTTACTCTCTTGAAGTTCATTCACTACCCTAAGGTCAAAAACTCCTGCTCTAAAATCACAGAAGTAGTTTTCAAAGCCAGTATTTGATATTTCCTAGGATGAAGGGAAATTCAGTTTAAAACCAGACTGTTTTTAGAGAAATAACTTGCTATATTTCCCAAAATCAGAAGTTTTAAAATAGTTGTTTTCCAAAATTAGAAAATGATAAACAATTATTTCCCCCTTCCCACCACATATACACTCACCATGTTTTGGGCTGAGAATGGGAAATGGATCTCCTAGTTTCCAGAAGAAGTACATGAAGGTCAACCAGAGGAGACAGGAGAAGAGCAGACGCTGTTTATGCACTAGGAAGGAGGAGAAAGACTGTAAGGTTAAATAGTTCTATATTAAAGAGCTTGCTCTACTTACAGATATGGAATCACACTGACTAGTATTTGGCTGGCTTGTTCACTTGGCAAATGAGTGATGGAATAATACAGTTTTTAAAGAAAGCATCCCAATCACTGTAAGAGGAATTTGGCTGAAATTAAGATGTGGGTTGAGTTAAGGGAGATATTATAGTAGAAACAGAAATACAGCTGTAGCAGCACAAATTACCTAATCGTTCAACATTGATTTTGTGCCGAACTTTTTAAGATGCTGTGTGTGAGGCATCCCCAAACAATAGTCGCTACTGAAAGTAATGTAGAAATGAAGCTCTCCACAGCCTCAATCCCCACAAATCCTCATCTCAATCTATCTGCTGACACGAGAGGGTAAAATACTCACGTTTACAAATACTCACATAGTCGGATGTTGCTTACAATAAAATAGCCAATGTAAAAAGGCACCATGAAAACCAGGATCAGAAGGATTACACACAGGTTCATTTTCCAGTGAAAATAACGGGAACTGAAATAAATATCAAAGAATATCACTAGGAGGGGATAAAGGCAGCAACTTTCATTCTCTTCAGTCTTCTAAAAGATCTCTTACTCTTTGAACTCAATACCGAATATATCCCACCCAGTAAGTCAAGTAGGCTGTTACTGTCTGCTTCTTTATAGAGATTAAAGAATATATTATAGAGTTCTGAAAAGTATATATGAACATCCTAACTTCCTACGAATTTTACTTATTCAAATGAGAATGTTAATGCTTTAGTTATATTCATAGGCAGTGTATAATAACATATCAACATATACTATTACTGGTAGAAAATGACTGTTGTTTCATGTACCACTGGGAGTCTCGTAATTAAAAGAAAATAAATGTTAATAGGAATTGCTAAAAATAGTAATGTGCTAGAAAGACTTAAATATTTCTTTTGCATCTTCAATATAAACATTTGATCTGCATGACTACTTTTATTACTGCTTATAAACTATATTTTATGAATTGATTAAAATATTTTTAGGACTTTTTTTTTTTTTATGCTTTGCCTTTTATTCCCACGACTTATGCATTCCATAACTAGAAGCCTGTATCTCCCACTCCCCTTCACCCATTTTGCCCAACCCCTGACCATGGACTTCTTTAAATAACAATTTTATTGAGATATAATTCACCCATTTAAGGTGTACAATTCAATGGTTTTAGTATATTCATAAAGTTGTGCAACTATCACCACAATAATTTTAAACATTGGGCGCCTGGGTGGCTCAGTTGGTTAAGCGACTGCCTTCGGCTCAGGTCATGATCCTGGAGTCCCTGGATCGAGTCCCGCATCGGGCTCCCTGCTTGGCGGGGAGTCTGCTTCTCCCTCTGACCCTCCCCCTCTCATGCTCTCTGTCTCTCATTCTCTCTCTCTCAAATAAATAAATAAAATCTTTATAAAAAAAAATAATAATTTTAAACATTTCATCACTCCACAGTGAAACTGTTCCATTAGCTCTCCTTTTCTCTTAACTGCCCCAGCCCTAGGAAACCACCAATCTACTTTCTGTCTCTATGGACTTGCCTATTCTGGACATTACATGTCATCTTATGTCTGGTTTCTTTCACTTAGCATAATGTTTTCAAGGTACTTCATTCCTATTTATGGCTAAATAATATTCATTCAATGGTATGGATATGTCACATTTTGTTTATCCATTCATTAGTTGCTGGACATTTGGACTGTTTCACTTTTAAGCTATTATAAACAGTGGTGCTATGAACATTTGGGGAAAACTTTTGTGTGGACATGTTTCATTTCTCTTTAGGTATGTACCCAGGAGTGGAATTGCTGGGTCATATGATAACTATTTAATTTTTTGAGGACTGCCACTATTTCCCAGAGTGGCTGCACCATTTTACATTCTCCCCAGTAGCACAGGATCCAAATTCTCCACAGCCTTGCCCACACTTGTTACTGTCTTTTTGATTATAGCCATCCTGCTGGGTGTCAAGTGGTATCTCATCATGGTTTTGATTGCCATTTCCCTGCAAATGGCTGATGATGCTGAGCATCTTTTCATGTGCTTATTGGCCATCTGTGTCTTATTTGGAGGAATGCCTAGTCAGATACTTTATCCAGTTTTCAATGTGTTGTCTTTTTATTATTGAACTATTAAGAGTTCTTTATATATGCTAGATCAATGTCTCTTATCAGGTAAGTAATTTATAAAAATTTTTTCCCATCCTTGGGGAATCTGTTCACTTTCTTGATAGTGTCTTTTGAATTTGCTGATTTTAAACTTACACTTGGGCCTTGTTTCAAAAAGTTAAGTGGTTAAGTGGCTTATGAGGATATATAAAATATAGGATGATGAAATAAACTGTAAGAAAGTAGGAAAAGAAAGGAAAACCATGGGAAAAGATAGGTATAAAAGTAGGCCACGCCTGATGACTATTATGAAAATGCACACCACAGAGTTCTAGAAACTTGGTATCAGTGTATCATAAATTTAGCTTGAAGTTTCTTTTATAAGTGACATTTTATTGGAACACAGCCACACCCATTTGTTTATACATCGCCTATGGCTGCTTTCACTCTCTAACAGCTGAGTAGTTGTGATAGAAACCTATAAACTACAAAGGCTAAAATGTCTATTATCTGGCCCTTTACAGAATGACTTGCTGACCTCTGGTTAGAGAGCAGTGAAAGTTCCTGGTTGTGATTTATTATTTGTAATTAGCAAGTAAAAGAACACTTGTTTATTCTTGATAGTCATAGGATATGTATCCTGCTCATCCAAAAAAGGTCTGGATTATTAAAAGAACTAGTTAAAATAAGAGTCAGGACATACTTTGTTTTATCACACTACAAATTATTAATTTATCAAGAGACATTATCAACTCCGATTCTCAAAGGAATCTGAGAATAACGTCTCTCTGTAAGTCTCAAGTATCAGGAGTCTGAAACAAGTTATATAGCTTAGCTCAGCATTGATTCCTGATTACAGAGTCAAATGCCACTTTACTAAAAGATTTTTCCATGCAGTGATAAAAAACTACAAAAGTCAACATAGAATAGCTGATGTACTCTAAACACAAACAATGGTCTAAAAGAACTCAAGCTTGCAGTTTAACAAGCAAGAAATATTTTGGACAGGCTGTCTAGTAAACAACATGTCTGTTATTTGGAGGGGAATAGGAGTTGCTTTTAAAAAATGCTTTAAACAAGACTAAGTTCAATCAGAATTGACCATACCTGTGAAATCAACAAAGGTAACCTAAATTAGTGAGAGCTGGAGTTCAGACTTCAGAGAAGCCCATACATAACTAACTCTGAGGAATTCTGATCTTTTCAGGTAGAGATTTTTTTTCATTAGCACGACAATGTAAAGGGCCATTAGCAGGATTCAAAGAGTAGCCTGAGAAGAATAAAACTTCTAGGAGTGAAGCCTGGGACCTAGGCTCTCACAGCCTCATTCCCAATTAGCTCTTCAGAGCTAATGGTCACTTCTTTTTTTTTCCTTATTTCACAATCTGTGTCAAACCAGTTACTAGGTGATTGGGACCCATATTTGCTATGATTTTTAGTTACTGAGACTAAACTAACCACATGGTGGATTTTTTCAGCTATGGAATTCAGGTAAGTCTTTCACCTGAATCACACAATTCTCTTCATGAGAAGAGCTAATTAGTACTCACCTGCTGTTCAATACTTTTAAGATTTCAAAGATGATGAGCTCAAACATGGTGCAAGAGAACGCAAAAGTCACAGAGAAGATCACCTGTACCACGTACTGACGTACCTATTAAAAGTCAAATAGAGAATACAAGTCCTTTCCTTGCGTGAAATATTGGATGAATAATCTGGTCACAAGTCAGAAAACTTAATGAAAAAATTCTCAAGTCATTGGAAACAGGGCTATAATAGCAACTTGCCTGGAGCTTAACAATAGTTGGAAGTAGGTAGTATTTCTAAATCATGGGGCACTATTACCATCATCCTCTTGTGGATGGAGAATTTAAAGCATAAGATGAAGTGACAGGGTGAGAAGGAGCACTTAGAATTCCTGATGCACAGCGACATAAAAAGGATAGATTTATACATATATATAGGTTAGTGCTAAAAGGGTTTCTTCAACACTCTGCAGACCTTTGGACCAGTTCTGGAACTTCCCCTGGGAAGCCTTAAAGTATGAAGCAGAGCAGAATCTCTAGAATCCTGGGCTCTTTCAGACAACAAACTAAACTCCTTGGAGAGGTTTAATGGTGAATATCCTAGAAATGATCTAAAAGTAGTCCACAACCATTGAGCTTATCACTAAATGAGGATTAATTAGGAAATGTCCAGTCTAGGCTGGTGTTTCTATGAACTCATGGCTTAAGAACCAGATCAATCTTAAGATTTTGGTATCAACTTAGGTGACTTAGGTCATTAACACTGAAGGTCAGACACCCAAATGAATGGGAACATTTATGAGACACTGCAAATTAAATTATCTTCCAAAAAATAACTGTCTGCTGTTGTTCTATACACTGATATTACTAAGGCATGTCAGTTTTGCTCCTGGGCTACATAGGACTTGTTTTTTTTTTTTTTTTTAAATCAACTAAGCCTAATCATATTCTCCAATTTAATAATTATATAGTACTCATTTGGCTAAAACTTCCTATCTTGGAAGTGAACATGACCTTTCTTGAACAGAGGCATTTTTCTTGTCCA